CCGAGAATTAAGAAAAAATAAATAAATGTTAAAATTCTCTCTCTCTCTCTCTCTGTGCCCCCCTCTCTCTCACTCTCTCTTTAAAAAAAAAAAAAGAAAAAGAAAAAATAACTTATAGTATTTCAGAAGTAGACAAATTTGTGTTTAGATTGAAGATAGGCAATATATGCCAATGTGTATATAAACTTAGATACTGGTTTCCTGATTCTCTTCACCTCCTCCCTCCGCCACCTTTTTGCCGTACCAGTAACATTTCGGCTTGTCAGTGAGCACCACTGGCACAAACATTGTTAAAAGAAGTTGTAAGGTCTAGACTAACCTAATTCCTATCTTGACTTTTTTTTTAGTTGTTAAAGGACCTTTGTTTTATTTATTTATATACAGTGCTGAGAAGATTGAACCTAGTGCCTCACACATGCTAGGCAAGTGCTCTACCACTGAGCTACAACCCCAGCCCCCTCTTTTGACTTGATATGGGTGAGGTTAACTTAATGGTTCCAGAAAGCTATAGGAACATTGAGTTCAACTAAGTAAAAGAGGGAACTTTCTAATACATAGAAACAACTTCTTTGAAATATAGTGGGTTCTGCAGCAATGAAGATATTCAAACAAAAGCTGGATAGGTGACCACATGTTGGAATTGTTTTAGAGCAGACTCGGCCATTGGGTAAAGGGTAAGAATAGACCTCTGAATTCCTTTCAATTTTAAGATTCTGTTACTTGATCTGTGAGCTCTGGTTTCTCCATTAGTCCTCTGCAGCATCCCGTTTGTGGTAATGAAATAGAAGCGAATTGTGTGGGGCAATTGTAAATGGTCTCAGGAAGTAACTTCAGGCAAAGGTTGTTACAGAGCAAATCCCTCCTCTGTCTTACAAATCATGCATCTCCAAACAATAAGCCCATAGTCCTGTGCAGCTTGTTGGCAGTTTCCCAACCTCTGACTTTTGAGAGGGTGCTATCTGCTAGGATATCCAATGACATTTTCTCAAGTGTTACTCTCCTGCATATCAGCTTGGGCAAGTGAACCAAACCTCAAGGGTCATTTCGGAGGCCATCTGGATGACCGATATGGGATTGACTTTATTGTCCACACTTATCTACTCATTTGGTTCAAAATATTAGGTAATTTTTCCAACTATTTTCTTTTTTACATTCTTAATAGCTGGGCATAGTTATCATTTTTTCTTTGAGGTTCTATTCTTTACCTCTGAGGCATTAAGAATTTCCAAGGCAGAAAACCATAGCTCTCTGTTTGGTCCTTACTCTATTATGAGGTAGGTATTTTGTCTCTCCAACATTGAATTACATTCTGTAGGACCAAATGTCACTTAAATAACCTTACTTCCCAAGTCTTCCCACATTTATTTGGCATCTTTCTGAAGATAGCATTGTCTTTTATCCTTTGGCTTCTAGTTAGAGTTGGAAACTTTGCTTTGCCATCATGTGAATGACATGGGTTTCCTTTAGTTAAAACATTATTATTTACTTTGTAGGTAAATCATCCTCTGAGTCTCTGGTTCCCAAGCGTGTTGGTCTTACTCACATATCCCAAGTTATTTCAGAAGTTGATGGTAACAGGATGAATTTGGGCCGAGAAGGAGCACAGGATTCCTTCCCTCTCCAACAGAAGATTTTGGTCTGCTCTTTGCTGCTTTTGACCAGGCAGTTGAAAATCAAAGAAGTCACTCTGGGGAAGGTAAGTTGGGAATCTCAGCAGAAGAAGCTGAGGTAGAGATGAGAATCTGCTTTGCAGCACAGGTATTTTACAAAGGCTTATCATGTTCCAACTGGTATGAATTAAGTGTTTTAACAGTAAGAATTAATATTGGTACTATATAAAAGGCAACTGACTCAGTTTCCCTTGGAATGTGCTTAAGCTTAAAGTCCTCTTCCTACATTACAGTATAGGGTTTTGGGAATATCTACTGAATGCTTGTTCAAGGATGGTGACTTTTAAGTAACAATTCTCCCTCTTTTTCCTCCCAGTTATATGAAGCCTACAGTAATGTCTGTCGTAAACAGCAGGTGGCAGCTGTGGACCAGTCAGAGTGTTTGTCACTTTCAGGGCTCTTAGAATCCAGGGGAATTTTAGGATTAAAGAAAAACAAGGAAACCCGATTTACAAAGGTATGACCAACTGCTTCTTTATGACAGTGCTTTTTTTTAAAGTTAAGATTTAAGGTGTTTGAGAATAGGAGTGTGATATGAATGAGATTCCCCCCCACCTCCCAGGCCATTGTAAAAAGCAGTATTTAACTTGCTTGCCTCTAGGGAGAGAAGTTTAATATGGTAGAAGTTAGTGTGGTACCAACTTTGCTTTTACGAGTTCTTCACCATGCAAAATTCTTTTCTCTTTTCAGGTGTCTTTGAAGATTGATGAGAAGGAAATAGAGCATGCTCTGAAAGACAGAGCTTTAATTGGAAATATCTTAGCTACTGGATTGTCTTAAATTCTTCTCTCACATCCACCCAAAAGTATTCATCTGGCATTTAGAGAGCTATGGAGTCTTCATTTTAGTAATTTATACATTCACTCCAAAACCAAATATGACTTTTTTTACTCGACAGCAAGGAATTTTAATCTATAGATTCATGAATATTAGCACAGAATAATATCAGTGGGTCTTATTTTTATACATAAATGAATAAGTAAACCCTTTTTAAATTAAATTAACTGCCTCTCCAAGTATACAGAATTATATTGTGGAATGTGTAAATCTTTACCTCTAAGTTTCCTCAAACATTGGTATATTTTCTTAAGAACTCGGAGGTTAAGGTAAGAAGAATGAAAAAGAATGAGGAAAAAAAAGTCTACATGGAGACTTGAAGGACGTTTCATTTCTTTATGGAGAACTACTATGTTCATGGTGCTGAAGTACCACATTGTGACATTGTGACATTTTTAAGACAGTCATCAGAGTTTTTTGGATACTCCTAACCTTGTGGGGGTAGTTAGAAGAATGTAACTTTACAGATTGTGAATATATTTATTTATTTTCAAGTTGTATTTGTTGTGTGTGTGTGTGTGTGTGTGTGTTGCTGAGGATTGAACTTAGGGCCTCGTGCATGCAAGGCAAGCACTCTACCAACTGAGCTATATCCCCAACCCTGTATTTGTCTTTTTAAGCATTCATATTTTAAGAGACCTCAGGCTTTCAGAAAGCAATGTGAAAATTCCTTACCAAACATTTCCAGTCTTTGCTGCCCTCAATTCTAAGCCATTGGTTCAAGATGCTGCCACTAGGGTTGGATTTTCATCTGAACAGATGTTTTTCCAGTTTTATTAGATGAATTAATCCTTATGGTTACTTAAGACTCCTCTGACTTTGGTTTCTAGTAGCATTAAATGGCAGTTTGTGACAGGAACACTAGAGGGCACCATTACAACACTACTCAAAGTGTAGGCTTGAGGCTGGGATGGTTTTGAGGGAAGGGGTGGAAAGGTACTTAGGTTTGATTTGTTTGGAAGATTGCTTGTATTACTTGAGCAAATAAATGCCTGAGATATAAACCGTGTGTGATATGAATGATCTGAGAGCCAGCACCAAGACTCTGCTTCTCCATGAGCTCTTCAATTGCCTCCTGCTTTTCTGATAGGGCCTTGGGTTTGGGAACTTGATATGTGTATAAATGATCTGTTGGCCACTGTTTCATTCATTCTGCCCACTGTATCTTTGTAAAGTGATCTGCACTACAGCAGGTGGTATGGGATAGAAGAAAGGCAAGCAGAGAGGACTCTCTGAAATGAACACTACCCACTGGTGTGTGTAGCAGAGGAGAATCTGTGGACACAGGGCTGGATGTTGTTCTTACTCACACTATATTAGAGCATTAATTCACTCAGGGCAATTTTGCAAATGGGGTACACAGTTCTATATTGAAAAGGTTGGAAGGCATCTGGGGCTATAAGGGTTAACAAGCATAATTGCAAAGATTGTCCGAAGGCTGATGGAAAGCAGAGACTGAATGGGATTGAGAACAGATGCGAGGCTTGATTTAAATTACATTTTATTGGATGCTGCAGCCTTAAGAGACGTGACTGCTTTACAGTTTGTTTCCACACTGTGGGCAGCTGTCTGTTCTGTGTCCACAGTAGGATCCTGCCCAGAAAGGAGCGGCCTCCCCACCTCGTTGTGTTTGAGGCTTGGCGCCTTCCTCTTAACTGTAGAGCTTGAGTCAGGAACATGGCTTGACTCGCAGTGGGGCTGCTATGTCTCCTCCCTGGCTTCCATCCAAGATCACATTTACAGATTCAAAAGGGCCAAATTTCTTTTCCCCTCTCCCTCCTTTCTCTCCTTCCCCTGGTATTTGGAAATAGGGCTTTCTGTGGACTGGTTTGTTAGTTTCCTTTCCTTCAGTTCTCCCCCCACTGTCAATTTCTAGGTCATTGCTGCTCTTAAGACTTCAGCAATTGGAACAGGGTTGGTTCTGTCAATGATGCATGAAGCAGACTTAGAGTCCCTGCTTGGCTTCCGCTGCCCTTGTGGGAGCAAAGGCTGATATATGTTTGTCAGTAAAGTCTTAAGTGTAATTCAGACAGCCAGAGAAGAAAAGGAAGAAAACTCTTTCCTTGCTGTTTTTTTTTTCTCACTGAAGCTGAGAGCTACAGGAAGGTGGTAGGAATTTTAGTGGGATGGGATGGGCCTGTGATTAGTAGTTTTTGCCAAGATATTAGGCTACTTCATATGGAGTAGTGGCAAAGATGCTGACCTACTTTTTTTTTAAAGATGCTGGGGTGTGTGTCTGCCTATATCCTGGTTTGTCTTTTTTTTTTTTTAATAAGTAGATAAGCTTCCATAGTGTTGGGTATTGCCATGGGAAAAAAAAAAACACAATAATGTTGGTGTGAGTTTCAACCCCAGAGCTGCCACTGACATTTCTGGCTCAATGAAGACTCATCTGTGGCTAGCTAACTGCAAGAGTGTGTGAGGTCCAGGCTACCCAGTGATCAGGAAAGTTGGTAGAGCCCTATTTTCTCCAACCCTCCTCCCTCATTACTCCCTACCTTTAAAAACCCTTTTAAGATGCACCAATAAGAACTGGGAAGTGAGCTAGCTGGGTATGTATTACACACCTGTAATCCCAGCTACTCAGGAGGCTAAAAGGATCAAAAGTTTGGGATCAGCCTAGGAAATAAGTGAAAGACTTTGTTTCAAAATAAAAAGGGCTAGGGATGTAACTCAGTAGTAGAGTGTTTGCCTTGCATGTATGAGGCCCTGGATTCAAGCCCCAGTATGGCCTGGAAGTGGAAATAAGATATGGCTTAAACCATATTTTTTAAAAATATCTAGGAGTGGAAATGTAGCTCAGTGATAGAGCACTTGCTTATCGTACATGAAGCTCTTGATTTGATCCCTAGCACTGAAAAAAAAAATTTTTTTTTGAGAAGTATTATGTTGATTACTATGGGGGGAAAAGAAGTCCAAGATTAAGAGGTTTTGTTTTCTTGGTGTTGGAGATGGAACCTAGGTCTCATGCCATGCATGCTAGGCAAGCACTCAACCAATGAACTACATGCCTAGGCCCAAGATTGAGATGTCATTTACATTTGTATTTATCCTCACAGTCAGTGCCTGGTGCCTAGTGCGCGCCCACACTGGGGATTGAACCCAGGGCCTTTGGCATGTGTGACGCAAGCACTCTATGGAGCTATATCCCCAGCCCTCCTGCTAAGTATTTAACAATTGTTCAATGATAAATGAACCGAGTAAGATGCTGTCTTTCCCATCTTGATAGTTCTCAGCTGAAGGTAAACATTGCTGGTGCTTTTGTACAGAGGTAGAGCAGGCCCCTGCAGAAGAAGGGTACTTCACCTACAAAATGTGTCTTGGCATAGTTCTGGAGCATTTATTGGCCTCACAGATGCATTCTAATCACTCCTCTGATGTAGTTATATTTTGCTTGAGACAGCCTCTATGTTGCTTGTTGCTTGAGGGAAACTTTGGCTATGGGACAAGGCTTACCTTCAGGCTGGGAAGAGGTGTGCCTGTTACCAAGTGTCCCTAGATATTGACCAGAAACTGCCTATAGTTGGCAAGGACCTAGGAAGGAACCCACTTTTGATTCCTACTTTTTAACATTTGGGGAAAGTAGTGATCTCAGGTTCCTCTTGAAAAGTCAGGACACCCTCTAAGACCCTCAAGAATGTTCTCTTGAGCTGCAAACACAGCAGGTCTTCCTCTTAGAAGTACATTCTGTAGGGGGAGAAGGTGTACTCCTCTGGCCTCCCCTTGATTTCCAGCCCCAGCCCCAAGGCACTGGCAGTAGAAACTAATTGGGTGCAAGGGGCCTGGGTAAAGGCTGAAGACTGGCAAAAGGAGAGGCAGCTCCGTTTTTTAAAAAGCTCTAATTGAGTTCTGAATCAGCCTCACTCCCTTTGATCCCTCCTCTGTTTCCCACACTGCCTGAAAGAGCTAGATCAGCACTTTATAACAAGGGTGCGCCTGCTCCCCACACCCGCCCCCCTTCCTGACGCTCTCTACTGCCGCCATCCACTACTTGTCTCCTTCAGTTAAGATAATGAAGATGCTGAGAGATAAAATGTGTATTTAATAAGGGTGGGGGTAGGGAGGCAGAAAGGGGCAGCCAGGACCTTCCCTAGTTTGGGGCCTCGCCAAGACTCAAGCTGAAAGCAAAGCTAGAGTAAGACTTGGCCCCAGGGTGTGGGGGTTTCTGGGCCTCAATCCAGCTGACTTCACTGCCTGCTGTTTGCCCTAAATTCCCCCACCTCCACCCTCTCACCCCCACACTCCTTTCTTTCTCTCCTTGCTCCCAATGGGAAAAAGGAGCCTTGCTTCCACTTACTTTAGAGCTGGTAAGTTGGCCTTTGGTGCGGTGCCCCCTACCCCAGTGTCAGCTGCAAGGTCGGGCTAGGGCAGCCCTTGTAGCCAAGGCCTGTAGAAGCTGTGGGTTCACAGTGGGGGGTGAAAAAGCTGGAGTTAATGAAGACCAGCTGCTCGTCTGGGTTCTGCCTACAGCTAGCTGGAGGCCAGCCTTTGGTGGTGGTTAGAGGTGGGGGGGGTGGAGTATGACCTCCATCCATGGGCACAAGGATATCCTGTGGCAGCTGGGCCTGTGCTACTCTCTGAGCTTGGTTTCATCCTTAGTTTGTTAAGAGAGTAGTCTGTTTCCCCTCTTCCCCTGCTCCTCCCCTCCCCAAGTAACACTCAGCCCTTATTGAGCTTTATAACTGTAGTGGTGGCCCAGCTGAGATCTGAGGATCTCCAAGTCCCTTTTGTAAACACTCATTAACTGCCTGGGAAGAACCAAGAGCCCTGTTTAACAGCTGGGAGAGAACTGAGGCACATTAGGGTGAAAGGCTTGACCTAAGTTCACCCCATGGACTCCACCCTGGGGCCCTCCATCCTTACTGTCTAGTTCCTTTCCCTAGTTCTTCCCGCAAGACAGAAGAGGTGGAGGCCTTGTTGCCCTCTCCCCTTCTAGGAAGAGGCCATGATTTCTCCCTTCCCTCAAATCTGTCCTGGACTTCCCCTGGCCCTTCACCCCATGACATTTTCCCTGCTCTGCTGCTGGAGATAATGTGTAACTCTCCTTGCAAAATGTTCTCAGTCCAGTATTGTGCTGATTTCTCACCCATCATTTCCCTGGCCCACCTGGCCCACCACACCTGAATTCTCCCTTTTGAGCTACAAACAAACTGACTATCCTAAACTGAGTCAGCGACCTGGAAGCTGATCTTTTGTGTTAAGAGGTCCTCTACCCCCTGTATTTATCCAAAATGATACCTGGGAAAATACTCTTTAACCTGTGCATTTTGGTAATAAAGATCCAGAACCCTGTTGAGGGCTGGGTCAAGACACTAGTTGACCTCTTAATTCTGCAGTCTTTTCTTCCACTGACAGTTGCTATTTCTAGTTATGGATATAGCTCAAAGATCTTTTTTGGTTTTTCCCCTTCCTCAGCCTCTCAGATTCTCACCTGTATAGGTATATTGGTATACCCCACACTTACACACACACACACACACACACACACACACACACACACACACACTCCTCAGTCTAGTGATAAAATTCTGCCAGTTTTTTGGGCGTGGGTTGTAGTTCAGTGGTAGAGTGCTTACCTACATGTGTTGAGCCCTGGGTTTGAATCCCAGCACTGCAAAAACTAAACAAAAGATTTTTGCCGGTTTCCAGCTGCCAACTAAGTCATCCTGTCATTTTTACTTGCTGACCATCAATTTTTCCCTGGCATGGCCTCCTAGGCACTTAGAAATAGTAGGGCAGAATGAAGGAGACTGCTATAGTCTCTGAAGAAGAGGACAGAAATGAGTATTCATCAAAAAATAACATCTCCTTCCTCAAATTCTCAGTAGCTGAATGGCTCAGCACAGTGGTAGAGATCTTAACCTCTTCTCTAGCACCAAAGATCCAAATCCATTGTCTCAGGGCAGGCAGGAAAAAAAATGTCTTTTCCTCCTACCCCTTGCCATCCTATCCTTAGCTTAAAGCATTCATATGCTTTATTTGAGACCAGAAATATACCTGTCCC